AACAACAACAACAACAACTATGATAGTTCTTATTTTACAGGCTAGAAACCAACGCCAAGTTTATAAATTCTGGGTGAACACCCATGAGTTGGGGAAATTACACCATATGGATTTATGCTTCGGATGAGCCCACTCTGACTTTAGATTTTATGGACATGCGTGTATCTGGTTATCATAAAGCCCTACTCTATTAGTGGGACTATGTCACAGCTTTAGGTTTCAACTGGGGGAACTCAGAACCGGTATCCTATATTCCTCAAAGTGCATGAGATCCTCCCATATTTCACATTATGTATAAGGGAATGAACAGGCAAACATTCTTTTGGGGAATGATGAAGTGCATCAAAACTTTTGCTCTGGTATTCTTCCTCCTGTGAACCCAAACACCTGTTTAGTTTTTATTCAGGTAATTTTTGTCCTTCTCCAGCTCTTCCATTTCTATCTCTATGTTTTGGTGATAGACATTAAGCAACACTCTTTTTGGGCCATTTTGCCTCAAATGATATTCTATTCATTAATCTGCTAATCCCCATTGGGTGGAGCCTTGCTGGGTACCCTTCTGATCTGGTTGAACACGATGTTTATTGTAGTCTCTTGTCTTCTGACAGTTAAAGTGTATTCCTTACTCAGTATTATTTGGGGTACATCAATGAGCCCTGCTCTGTGGTTGCCTTCACGAGCATCAATCCTGGTTTACAGAGGAAAGCTTTGAGAATTCCTAGTGATGCTTTGACTATCTGAAGCTCATTCTTAATAGACTTGGTGGGAGATACAAGCCTTGGGTACTCCTTTGGAACATAAGATTGTTTTAAAATCTATTTCAGACATTTATTTTTTGCGTTTTAAAATTTTCATTTCTAAGATGAAAAATCTTACTTGGCTAATCTTGGCAAAAGGAATATTTTCCACACCTGTGGATATACCCTTGGAATGCTCCTTTTTAAATCATGGTGTGTTAAGATAGCACACACTTGGTTACAAAAGCCTCTCCACAATATACTTAGAACATGGGATACACAGCAGCCCACCTTAGCTCTTGGTAGATGATCTGATCCTCAAAGATGGTACATAAATATGTGACTAGGAAACACAGAAAGTAATTAAGTCTGTAAATGCTGTAATTTGTGGCATAATTTTCTTTTTGGTGGACCAAATTTTCTAATATTAAAAGGATTAAGAAAGTGCATCAAGAATGTATTGACAAAGTTTGAGGTGTATGAATTGTGGAATAATGAAACTGAAAGAGTGAAAGAAACCTTTAATTTCTACTTACAAAGGATGTAACTATCTAGATACCATGGTGGTGGTTGTTGATTGCCTTTGAGTTGAGCACAACACATAGTGATCCTTGAACAAAAGGCCTGAAGCCCCTCTACAATCCTCGACATTTATCAAAGTTCATAGAGTTTCTGGAGGCATGTTATCTGGAAGTGGATGCCACAGGGTAGAAAAATAGATCACGATTTTTATAATAAAGGAATCTTACAGTTTAAGGACATCTAACAAATATGAACTGACAGAAACACTGATAGAAATTCTTTTACTAAAAAGCCAAATACCAGTCTTTAAATATTTTCCATGATTCAACCACTACTTATTTAATTCTTTGTAGGCATGAAATTACCTCTTGGAAAATCTACTAAAATTGTTCATCTTTCTCCTATGGTGCTGCTAGTGGATTCAAATCATCGGAGAGGTGCGGCCTTTGGGACAGAAGCATAACTCCCCTGAACTACGTCACCAAAAGTCCCTCTAGAAGGCACTAAGTAGTGCGACTGATTAATGGGCATGGGTGCTAATGGAAAACTTGGTATGCCTTGATCAATGACTTCTACAATCAGCCTTGGAAAGTCCTTGGGAGCACACATTGACTCTGATACACGTGGAATTTTCACAAACTAGAACAGACCCAACAGTAACTGTTTCCGGGTTTTGCTTTTAAACACAGCCCTGATGTACCTCCCCAATTCCTGTCACGGAAGAATTCCAAGTTCGCCTCTCCCCTGGCAAGGAATTTACTCACATTGGTTCAGACCTGGTTTGAAACATTTTACTGGCAATACTAGTGTCATATTTAGGAACCACAGGTTTTTTGTAGAGCTGTGTTTGCTTGAATGACAAGTATCAATGATCAACTATACTTGAAATATTGTTAAAGTACCTAGAAATAATAGGCATTAAAAATCATTCCATTCATTGCAACAAACCTTAAAAGATTTCATGTCTTCAGTGGAACGGGCATACTGTAATTGTTATTTGGAACTTAATGTAACCCCAACAGCAGTAGAGAGACAATGCAGTCCTCTCATTATGAACATGCTCTAGGATCGTTTATTTTAATGCTTTCAAATAAATACATTCCATGCAGCACACCACAATAAATAAGGAGCAGCAATGTTCTTATAGTAAATCCATTCATAATGTGAGTCACCATGTGAAACACCACATCTCAAGTCTTTGGCCCTGTACCGTATCATGAAGCACACCACATCTGTACCTAATCATATCTGGCTTCATATGGATTTAATAGGACTACGCCATAAGTGCATGTAAGCATAAAGTTAACCAGAGGTTTCCAGCTATTAAATACAGCTACTAAGTAGTTAAAAGGCAACAACCAAACCCATAAAGGTTTCCCACCCACACCCCCTACCCCTCATTTTTGAGACAGAAAAGATACAAATGCTCTGCTTTGGATGGAGAGTACAGTGGGATGAATTTGGAACGTTTGTAGCAAAGCTGGCACAATATGGCACCCAAAATGTCACAGCAATACTGAAACTGAATGGACACACTGAGCACAGCAGACGTGAGGACTGGGGATGCTGAGCTCTCGGGCCAGGAAGGTGGGTGACTGGGGTGAGGGCTGTGGGCCTCCACTAGGCAGCTAATTCAACTGTGCCTTCTTCCTCGCTATCGGCTCTGTTGGCACGAATCTCCACGAGAGTTCTGGCAAATCGGGTCCACTCATCGTTGTGAGGAACTGCAAGCTGCAAAACAAATCAATGGAGAAATGGTGGACAAGGTATCTTTTACATCTAAAGCCCCTGAAGCCCACACGAGTTTCTCCTCACAAAGGACACGGTTGGTTTGGAATGTAAACACAATATTCTTCTTTCTTGAATCAGTTACTTTCCAAGGAGTGTTGCTCTTAATGACCACCATAAGAAACATAGACTAAAGTGGCTCTTGAAAGCAAAAATTATCTATGAACTTTCTAAAATGTTCCCCATTTAGGTAAATTATACAGTCACAACCACCATGCTAAAATAAAGCACTCTCAGAAATGAAAACTACTAAGACCAGACTTAACACAACACATAGAAATTGTAACAACAGCAAAGATTTTTCATTAACTGTATTTTTCTTACTATTCAATGCTATTGACCCCTTATCCAAAATGCTGCTACAGTGCCAGTATACATGGTAAGCAGATATCTTATATAAGCCAAGAAATCTTACTGTTAGGAAATAATGCTCAGGCCTTTACAGAAAGATCTCTTATGTGGATACGGATGAGTGACAATGGGAGCTCTGACAATTCAGTGGTAAGGAATTATCCTGCTAACCCAAAGTCAGGTAGTTTGAATCCACCAGTTGCTCTGAGGGAGAAAGACAGGCTATCTCTTACAGTGTGATTCTCAGCCTCTGAAAAACTAGGTAAAAGTTGACAGCACACAACATAACACAATATGAACAAAATAAATAGTAGCTTACACCAAGAGTCTTCTCCTAAATACTTCATAATGAATTAACACATTCCATAAAGGTTCTAAGTAGGGTAATATTACTATTTTCATGAGGTATTGTTGTTATGTACTGTCAAATTGGAACCAACCCAAACCTGACCCTACCATAGGTTTTCCTAAGCAGTAAATCACATGGTAAGAGATTGCCTATCCTTTTCTCTTGGAGCAGCTCGTGGATTTGAATGAAATCCTTTGCATTGGAAGTGCAGCTCCTTACCATTAAGCCACCAGGTTGTTGTTGTTGTGTGCCCTCAAATCAAACCTGACCCATAACTGACCCTCGAGCATGTCTTTAGAGGCAGTAAATTGCATGGAGGAGATTGCCCATCTTCCTCCTGCAGAAAAGCTGGTGGATTGTAACCACATACCTTTGTGTTGGTAGTGCAATTCCTTATCACTAAGCTACCAGGAAGCATTCAGGCCATGGCTTTCTCAATTACTTGCTATGCATCTGAGAGCTGGACAATGAATAAAGATGACAGAAGAATTTATGCCTTTGAGTTGTGGTGCTGGAGAAGAGCACTAAGTATCCCATGTACTGCCAAAACAATGAACAGGTAAGTCTTGGAAAAAGTGCAGCTAGCGGGTTCCTTGGAGGCAATGATGGCAAAGCTTCATCTCTCATACTTTAGATATGTTGCCGGAGAGGCTGTTCTACTTGGAAAGGGAATTGTACTTGCAAAAGAGGAGGGTCAGTGAAAGAGATGAAGACCCTCAATGCAATGGATTGACATGGTGGCTGCAGCTAAGGGCTTAAATGTATCAGAGATAGCGAGAATGGGCCAGGAGAGAACATTCAGAGCTGTTGTTCATAGGGTTTCCATGAGTTATATGCAATAGCACCTACCAACAACAAGCCATCAGAGGCCCTAATGGAAGTGGAAAAATATAATCTCACAAAAGTTACACAATTAATAAACACCAATGTGGTACTAGTGTTTGAATTATTAGTCAGTCAAAAAAGACTAGAAAATTTCTGAAATAATTTTTCTCCACATAAATCAGTAAAAAAGGCATTAACCCCATTCATAATGCAAAATATCCATGAATATATTTGCTGGCTGCTTTAAATAACTTATTTATGTAGCATCTAAAAATGAATTATTTAAAGACATCACACAGTGCCTTGTGATTAAAAAAGGAAAATTATTTGAAAATGAGAAATAGGACAAAGAAGAAATGAGACTGGTTTTTGTGGTGCAGTGACTTATTTGATGCAGCTCTTCTAAGGCATAGTCTTTGTAACTCTCACCACAGGATTGGGTAGGGCTATGTAAATGTGAGGTCTGGTGGGTTTGCAGCCCACCAAATGGACTGTGTAGCTTGTTAATAACCTAAGTAATTTATATGACACCCATTAGTATGGGACCATGCAAATAAGATATGTAGAATGCTGATGCGGGTATTGCCATTCCATTAAGCTTAAATTTAGTCACCACAAAGAGAGATAACAGGCTCTTCTACTATCAAGAAAACAAGCAGAGAGTGAAACATGTCCTCTGGACCTGCGATCCCTGTAAAAATAAGGAATGGACAGTTGTATCACCAGAAAGAAGGAATGAGATGATACAGTGGCAGCAGATGTAGAAGAGGTAGGAATTGGAAACTAGCATGAGACAGAACTGTGGGCTCTTGGTCACACGTGGTGAGAAAGCTGAGTCTTTGCTGTAGTGGTATCTTCAGGCATTTGTCAGGGAGCTATTTTTGCTGGTTCATAGAGCTACAGTCAAGTACCTTAGGCCTATGCTTATGAGCATAGAGGGTAGTACATAATTGACATTACTGAATTAGCTTTGTAACACTTGCCCAAGTAGGGCAGAAGCCAAGGCTGAGAGGTCTAGGGTCAGAAGGAAAGAGGCCTCTCTGAAAAGCATACCTGAGCAGAGGCTATCCTGTCAAGAACTCTATCCTGAGCATTCCTGATCCTGAACTGTAACTGCTCCTTTCCTAATAAATTCTCTAACTGTGCGCATTGTCTGTGGGGTTTGTGTCACCATCGCAATAACTCTGTAGAGAAATAGTGAGTGCTGTGGGAGGAACGGTGGGTGCTAAATTGGTAGAAAAAGTTTTGAGTGTGAAGGTCCGACCTCAGATCTGAGCTCATCGTAATTGGCTTTGTAATGTTCACACTGTTAGAGAAGGATTCTTCTCCCTTATAAGCTACTGGAGGTCAGATGCTGCTGCCCACACTCTTCTAGTTTTCATAAAGGAAAAAAATAATTTAGATGTAATAGCTGCTTTCTTGAGGACCACAGAATAAGATGTTGAAACCTGCCTATCAGTGTTACAAATACTATGAAATAGTTTATAAATATTAAAAACACACATTCTGGAAACCCTAAGTTTCTGTAAACTTTCATTAAAATTAATTCAAAAATATTTTCATAAAACCAACCAGAAATTGAGATATTTGTGAATAAAACTAACTAGAGACATACACAGAGAATGCACATTCATTCTAATCAATATATCTTTCTTAAAATATAAAAAAGTATGAAATCTAACATTTGTGATAACTTTGATAGCTGGAAAATGACCCACTATTCCCAGTCAAGTGATTAAAACTTTAGATTTTTATTAAAAGGAATGATAGTTCCAGATGCTGTATGTCCAGGACTACTTATTGGAACTCCACAAATACACAGATTGATGTTCCTGTATCCCCTCCATAAAAACGAACCCATTGCTGTTGCGCTGATTTTAACTAATAAGCACGATGGTTTAGTGCCAACCCAAAGGCAGGTTATTTGAGTCTATCAGCTCCTTCACTGGGAGCAAGTTAGGCAATCTCCTCTTGTGTCATTTATTGTCTTGGAAAACCCAATGGAAGGTTAGCTACGAGTTTGTTGCCACTTGATGGCATATAACAACAACAACAACAGTACAGAACTGCCTTAGAGGGCTTCCCAGGCTAGGAATATTCATGGAAATACACTGCTGTATCTTTCTCCCACAGAGAGATAGGCAGGTTTGAACTGCCACCATTTTACTAGCAACTTCATCCTTACCCACGATGACACCAGGTCTGCCCAAACCCACTGCTGTCAAATCTCATGCACACTAAAATTTAGTATTCCAAGCATGTGATTTTGGAAAGGATTTACAGTTGGAGAAGTAACCTCTTAGATGTACTTTGAGAAATGCAGTACCAATAAGCATTCCCATTTAGCCATCTCAATGAGTTTTTCTTTTTTAATGAGCTTTGGAATAGTTAAATATTTTCTTACTCATTGAAATGACTCCAAGTCTCTTTTTTAGGCAATGACACAAGTTCACAGTAGCATTGGATTATGCCATCACCCCTTTGCTTAAGCCATTTGATCCTACTTTGGGCTCTTTTCCAATGTTCCACCACTAGTCTTCATGTTTCTCTTCTATTTTGGAAAACATCACCCTTGAGAAATGAGGCCCCAAAGTAAATTATACAAAAGAGCAGACAAAAGATATAAGCAGTAAAGGGCTGGTATCATGTTTACATGAAAGAATGAACAGGTCCATCACTTCTCTCCCTCCTCTGAGTCCTGACAGATCCATCCAAAAAGAACACACAACAAAAGTCCAGAAGAAGATCCAGGTAAAGTCCAGGTGAAGAAGCCCAGTCTCTCATGACAGTACCCTTACAAATAGAGACTTAGTGCTGTTGTCTTTTCCTTATACAGGTACTCTCTACTTCTCCAAAGTTCTATTTACTCCACTTCACTTTTGTGGAAAACCTACATTAGTGCTTGTTTTAACCAACCACAATAAAGAAAATTTTTACTTTTGCAAAAAAAAAAAAAAAAAGGTAAAGTAAAACTAGTGATTAGCATTTGTTTTACAGCAAGTCGTCAAAGAGGCCATGGGCAAATCTGACTTGAGGGCAGTACAACCTGAGTGCTCCTCAGAGACAAGGATGGTTCAACGCCATTTCCATGTCTTCGGGCATGCTCTCAGGAGGGGTCAGTCCTTATAAAGAGGGACCAGCCTTTAGAGACATCATGCTGGGGAAGGCAGAGGGCAGGAGAAAGAGAGGAAGATCCTTAATGAAAGGATTGAAGCTACCACCAGGGGCTTGAGCATGACAGAGATCGTAAAGATGATGTAGGATTGAGCAAGGTTCAGATTAGTCATTCAAAGGATCATGATGAGTCATAGTTGACTTGATGGGACCTGATGACAACAAGAACAATGCACTCTGAGTAGGGAGCATGGCTCTGTCAAACTCCTTTCCAGAAACCGTTATAGTTTTGAATGGTGCCTGT